ACTGAAGCCCATTACACTCATTCAGACTTGCTATTCAGTCTATCTATCTATCATCTGACTATTTCTATCTATCTATCTTATTATTTCTTTCTATCTATCTATCTGACTATTTCTATCTATCTATCTAATAGTAGCATGCTAAACATGCTAGCAACATGCTAGTAACTTACTAATCATGCTATAAACATGCTAGCGACATGCTAGTAACTTGCTAATCATGCTAATGACATGCTAGTCACTTGTTAATCATGCTAACAACATGCTAGTCACGTTTATCATGCTAGCAACATGATAGTAGCATGCTAATCATGCTAGAAACATGCTAGCGACATGCTAGTAACTTGCTAATCATGCTAACGTCATGCCAGTCACTTGTTAATCATGCTAGCAACATGATAGTATCATGCTAATCATGCAAGAAACATGCTAGCAACATGCTAGTAACTTGCTAATCATGCTAATGACATGCTAGTCACTTGTTAATCATGCTAGCAACATGATAGTAGCATGCTAATCATGCTAGAAACATGCTAGCAACATGCTAGTCACTGCTAGAAACATGCTAGCGACATGCTAGTAACTTGCTAATCATGCTAATGACATGCTAGTCACTTGTTAATCATGCTAGCAACATGATAGTAGCATGCTAATCATGCTAGAAACATGCTAGTCACTGCTAGAAACATGCTAGCGACATGCTAGTAACTTGCTAATCATGCTAATGACATGCTAGTCACTTGTTAATCATGCTAACAAAATGCTAGTCACATGTTAATCATGCTAGCAACATGATAGTGCATGCTAATCATGCTAGCAACATGCTAGTAACTTGGTAATAATGCTAATGACATGCTAGTCACTTGTTAATCATGCTAGCAACATGAAAGTATCATGCTAATCATGCAAGAAACATGCTAGTCACTTGCTAATCATGCTAACGACATGCTAGTCACTTGTTTATCATGCTAGCAACATGATAGTAGCATGCTAATCATGCAAGAAACAGGCTAGTAACTTGTTAATGATGCTAGCAAAACATGCTAGTCACTTGCTAATCATGCTA